CTGATCGGCAAGCCCAAGGCTCAGTGGTTTGCACTACAGCGCCACCCACGTCACTTAATCTCAAAATGGATATTGCAGAGCTGGCAAATATTCAGAAAAGGGCCACCAAAATAATGGCTGGGATGAAGCAACACCCCTGTGAAGAAAGGCTGCAGCACTAAGGACTTTGTAGTTTAGAGAAAAGGTTAATGAAGGCAACATGATAGAAGATTATAAAATTATGCATGGCATGGAGAAGTGACAGAGAAAAGTTGTCGTCCCGCGCCCCCCCCCCCCGCCCCCGTCTCATAACACTAGAACTCATGGACATCCAATGAAGCTGAATGTTGGAAGATTTAGGACAGGTAAAAGGAAGCACTTCTTCATGCAGCAACTATGGAACTCACTCCTGCAGGAGGCAGTGATGACCACCAACTTGGAGGCCTTAAAAGAGGATTAGACAAATTCATGGAGGAGAGGGCTATCAATGGCTACAAGCCATGATGGCTGTGCTCTACCTCCACAGTTGGAGGTAGTAATGATTGCTGGAAACCATGGGAGGGGAAAGTGCTCTTGTACTCATGTTCTGCTCCCTAGTTCCTCACAGATATCTGATTGATCACTGTGAGAACAGGATGCTGGACTAGATGAGCTATTGGCCTGATCCATCAGGCTATTCTCCAGAGAATCAGCTTTTAATTGTTGTTGATGATGTGGAGATGCTGCTTGTATCTGTGGGATGCATGTGGACAGCCTGCTTGTATGAGCTAACCAGGTACCTCCTCGCTTCTTGATCATTGTGGCTTATTAAAAACCAGCTGAGGGAATTGACAGGCTGGGTTAATGATGCCTCACTACGAGATGGTGAGCTGCCACCTGCCTTGAAAGAGTGCTCCCTCCATTAGAGGATCTCGCCAGCCACAGAACTGTTAAATAACAAATAAATATCACCCAGTTGTAAATATACCCTCCATAGGCAAGGTGCTCAAGAAGGTAGCAGTGACACAGCTGTAGGCATGCTTGAAGAAAGTGGATTATCTGGATTCATTTCAATCTGGCTTTAGGCTGAGATTTAGAACCAAAACTGGTTGATGACTTGTGGTGGGGAAGAGAGAGACAGGAAGAGTGCAACTTGGTTTATTCTCCTTAACTTCTCCCTGTTTTTTGATACAGTTGGCCATGGGTGTGGTAAGAACCATGGTTATGCTACTTAGGAGACTGGTTCCAGTCAAAGCAATGGAGGACACTGTTCAGCACCATGGAAATATATCTGTCCTGTCCTGCCATACTCCCATCTTTCACCCAGTTTAACATCCTTATGAAGCTGTAGGAAGCTGTCATCAGGGCATTTGGAGTGATCAGCATGCTGATCATACACAGATCTATCTCCATTCCATCTGAATCAAGAAATGCAGTTCAGGTTCTTGACCAGTGCTTGGATGTAGTAATGGGCTGCATGAGGGCCAATAAACTGAACCTGAATCCAGACAAGATGGAAAGGTTATGTGGTCTGGGTTATTGAGTCTGGAAGTCTGTCTTACTTGGGTCACACTTTCCTGGAAAGGGCACATCAGTAGCTTTGTCCAGCTTTATCATTTGAGGCCATATTTGGCAACGAGTCCCTATTTCCAGTTGCAGCTGGTTCACCAGCTATGGACTGTACCAGAAAGATAAGGCTATGCAATTGTATCCTAGTAACCTTCCATCTGGATTACTGCAATGTATTGTATGTGGTGCTTTCCTTGAAGATGGTTGGAAGCTGCAATTAGAAGCAGAATGCAGCTGAATACATGCAAGTGTGAGTGGGAGATCTCATGCAATTCCTATTATGGGAGAACTGCACTGGCTGCCTGTTTGCTTCCATTTAAGGTTTGCCTTTGGCATATGAAGCCTACACAACTTGGGTCTCACATACCTGAAAGATCGACTCCACTTCCACAACTCATCCCAATTGGGAGCTGTGTTCATTGGGGGAGGGGGCTCTGTTAGAAGCTGTTCATCCTCAGGGGTTCAAAGTGTGGCTGAAGGTGTAAGACCTTCTTCATAAAGGTCCCCAAGATCTGTAACTTCCTCCCTCTGGATGCGCACTTAAATTGTACACGTTTTGGCAGCATGCTATGATGCATCTTTTTCACCTAGGCTTTGAGAATGAATGTGAGTTTTCCTCTCTGTATCTGACGCTGTATTGCTTTTACTTTGGGCTGGTGTTTTATCCTTTTTATTTTAGATATGATTGTTTTTTTAGTCTTCTTAGATCATACCTTGGGAAGTGTGTGTGTGTGTGTGTGTGTGTGTGTGTGTGTGTGTGTGAAGGGCAGGTAGCAAATATTTATAATAATATCAAATAAAAATAAATATCAAATAATCAAGAGGCAAGGTTCCTGCAGGAAAGTATTTAATTAAGAGAAAAACATTGTATTTGCTTCTGCTTATTAACACTGCAGCCTTTGCTCATTGATACCTTTACCTTTTAATTCAACGATATGAGAGTACCCTGTGGGAGGCATGAAGTGTGTGCGTACACACCCACACCCCTACAGTATGAGCACAAGGAGTGTGGACTTGTGCACAAACTGATTTGGCCAAATGAGCCAACTTTAAACCACTTTATGATCCTGGCTTGTTAGAATAAACCAAATTTAAAACTTACCATACTACCTAGTTTGATCATAAAAGTAACTGTTTCTGTCCACATGGCTGATTGCAGCTTAATTACGGCAATGGAGGAAAACTGCATACTGCTCTGTTTTCTCTGCTTCACTTGTTGTTCCTTTCTGCTTTACTCTGCCTTGACCCAGCTGCACCCTCTCTAAATCAAAGCTGCAAGCAAAGATGAAATGCCCATGACTCATAGGCCAAAGCAAGTTTTGGGCAAACTACAGTGTATTATTTTCATCAAGTAAAATTGAAATGCCTGTATTTGGTAGGTAGCCACAAATATTAATATTCAAGGAATGATGAGACTAGTGTTTAGCATGCTTATATCCAGGTTATTCATATTAACCTAGCTGTTACACATGAGTAGCACCCTAAATTCCGTCGTTTTTTTAAAAAAAACCATACTTTTGTAAACTGCTTTGCGAGTTTTCTTAATGTGTATGGTATATAAAAATTGTTACATGTTATGATATTTTTAATGTGTCGGTTTTTAATGTGTGTTGGGGAGCAGCAAAAATTCAGAATAAGGGTAAGTACCAATCAGGCTGTCCCATGCCTTGAGTTCTCCACTGTTCTGCTGGCACTGCTTTTCAGGCTACAGGCATGGCACTACAAATAAAATTTGAAAGAGAACGAGATAGGAGTGGAAACTGGCTTTTGCCATCCTTGAATATACAGTTTCTGCACATGTAGACTCTGTACAGAAATCTACAGAGAGCTCGGGTGTGTGAATTCCTTTATCTTTCTCCCCCACCTACCATCCAGCCTGCACACCTGGCTTCAAGAATTTGCTGTCACAGAATGCTTGAGGCTCAGTGGTTTGGAGTGCCTTCCATAAACTTTGGCTGGGGGCCCAGCTGCACCTCATCTGTACAGGGATAGCCTCAGCTCTGCTAACCTCTGGATTAGATTACTGCCATGTGTTATATGTGGGGCTGCCTCTGCAGCTGGTGCAACACTTGGCAGCTTGGTTGCTCCCCAGGGCAAGATAGTTTGACCATATAATGCCAACCCTGGCACCACTGCACTAGCTGCCAATCAGTTTCCTGGCCCAACTCAAGGTGCTAGTTTTGATCTATAAAGCCTTAAGCAGCTCAAGACCACAATATTTTGAGGACTGCCTCTCCTCATTTGAACCGAACTGCACCCTGCAACCATCATCTGAGGCCCTTCTTCATGAGGCTCCTCCACAAGAGGTTCGGAGGGTGGCAATACAAGAGTGGATTTTTTTCTGCAGTGGCTCCCTCAGGGAGGCTTGCCTGGTGCTTTCAATACATACTGTTAGGCGCCACGTGAAAACATTCCTCTATGATAGGGCCATCCAACTTGCTGCTTGTGGTCCACATGCAGTCTGCAAAGGAACTATGAGGAACGGCTAAGGGAGCTGGGCATGTTTAGCCTGGAGAAGAGGAGGTTAAGGGGTGATATGATAGCCATGTTCAAATATATAAAAGGATGTCATATAGAGGAGGGAGAAAGCTTGTTTTCTGCTGCTCCAGAGAAGCGGACACGGAACAATGGATCCAAACTACAAGAAAGAAGATTCCACCTAAACATTAGGAAGAACTTGCTGACAGTAAGAGCTGTTCGACAGTGGAATTTGCTGCCAAGGAGTGTGGTGGAGTCTCCTTCTTTGGAGGTCTTTAAGCAGAGGCTTGACAACCATATGTCAGGAGTGCTCTGATGGTGTTTCCTGCTTGGCAGGGGGTTGGACTTGATGGCCCTTGTGGTCTATTCCAACTCTATGATTCTATTCTAAGCCTTTTTCTGGTGAACCTCAGCAACATTCAAGAATAAAACATCTTAAAGCCTTATAAAAATTATTTTTTGTGTCATGCTAGAATTGTGTTTGATCCAGCCAGATTGTTTCCATGGTACATATCAGGCTAATGTGGGGACCTGACTGTGGTTACTTTTTTACTGAATATATTGTATGTCTGGTAAATGCGTACCAGACTTGAATCAAGATAGCAGCTAAATGGAATAGGTTGCCTTTGGTTTGATGGTACAGTTTCTACCACAAGCAAATTGTCTTGATTTACAGAGTATGCACTGCACATAAAAGTGGTCACGGAGCAGTTGCCTTTTTGTGCTTGTTCTGAGTGTGTGGAGCTGTTGTATGAATGGGAACCAACTTTTGACACATGTGACTTTCCACATTTAGTTGGCAGTTTTACAGATTACCTTGTTGTTATACTAATTGTAACACTAGCCAATGTGAAAGGTATCATAATAATTGATAATGATCCTTGCTTAGCACATTGATAGATTTCTAGCAATTCTTTTGTCCTCTTTCTTTCAAACTTTCTATAGACTTCATTAAAAGTTTCCAGCAATTTATGGCTTCTTTTATTCTTGTGCAGACGCAGGGTGTTGGGCATATCTGATGGAATTGAACACATTGGGGATCTTCGCTGGGAGCTGGCACTATGTCTTTTGGCAGCCTGGACTATTTGCTATTTTTGCATATGGAAAGGAACCAAGTCAACTGGCAAGGTAAAAGTAATGGTTCTATATACTATGTAAGCTTATGATAGCTTGTCATACTGGACTGAATCCTACCTCAGCCCCATTGGCACAAAAGGCCTCCCACGACACAACAGAGCTGCTGCTTCCTCTCCTGTCTCTTCCAGCAACATGTGCCCCCCAAATCAGCTCCGGGGGGGGGGGGGCTGAGGGACCCTCCAGAGCAGGTTTTGGTGTGGAGAGGAGAGCATGTGGAAGTCCCTTTGCACCAGCAGATGTCTGCTACCACAGCTTTCAATACAACCCACTGTATTGAAACTATAATATTATTTAGGCTGAAAGTCTATTCACTATTATCTGGGAATAAGTTATATTAAAGCCAAAAGGGCTTACTTCTGAGCAGATGTGTATAACTTCACACTGTTAGTATGAATAAACAAACAATAGCAGTATCTTTCACATATATGAAACTTGTCTTTTGCAAAACAGCTCAAGATTTCTGGAAAGGCAAGCTCATCTAATCAGTAGAAAGGAATGAGAAATTTATGTACAGTACTGTTTTGGTAAACGCACAAGATGCGGCCAGCCACAGAAATCATGTAAATGTAAGTTGATAGGGCTGTGATTTGCTATGAAATTGTCAAGTTCATTGTGTTCACAGAATTTAGGCAGCATTTATTTAGAAACACTATTCTTGACACTTCTGTTAATGCAGAAATGAATATTTACCCGCATTCAGAGTACAGTGAATTTCAAAGATTCAAAGCCAGCAAATTATAATACCGTTTTTTTCTGCTGCATCTCAATGCAGTTAAGATCCTTAACAAAACCCACATGCTTTCCCCCAAGTACAAGCAGGAGTAGTCTGCGGCATTTGGGCACCTGAGGTGAAACTCCTACCCCCATGACGAGTTTCTCTTCAAGATTTTCTGCTCAAGAAGTTGTTGCAGAGTCTTCCCTACCAGGTGGCAGATGGGAGAGATCAATTTTGGATTCCCTTCACTCACCCAGCAGCAAATTGGAGTGGGGAGAAAATCTCTCAGTGACAAAGCTGCGTGGTGGAATGCCTCCCCTCTCATTGACTCAGCAGATGGGGAGGTGTTCGGCAGAGCTTTGCTACTGGTCCCTCTCTGCCCATTGAGGCTGGGCAGACTGGTGGCAAAACTGAGAACAAGGGTGCCACCTGAGGCAGCTGCTTCATCCTGCCTCATAAGCTGGCTGGCTCTGAGTACAAGATAGCCTGCTTCTGAGCACAGGAAGCCATTGTACACTGCTGAATCCTCAGTGCTCCTAGTCACCCAGTGATAGCCAAATACCTACTTCAAGGTTTCTGAAGGACTTGTGTGTGTGTGTGTGTGTGTGTGTGTGTGTGCTCACAGAAATTTCTTTTCTATGAAAAGCTGACTGTCACATATCACAAAATGTTTGCTTCAAAATAGTTTGATATGTGTCAACATCTACATGAGAGTAGTGTGGGGAGAAACGTGGCAATGTGGGGCACTTTTATTTTTAATGCATTTATTTGATGCTTATTATATAAAATGTCTCAAAGCAACTTACAATTGCAAGCTCTTTAAATCCATTATTTTAATCATGCTGGCATCCTTTTGGATTTGTTTGTTACTTTTACATCTCAAATAAAATTATTATTAATGTGGCCTTTTTAAAATGGATTCCAAAGTGCCTGAACTGGTTTGACTCTCCCCACCCCCCCACCCCGCCAGTAATAGGCTGGGTCTGAAAGTTTTGTACACTGGACTTTATGAATACTAGGTGATTGAAGTATTATTTTGTCAAACCTTTTAATTTAATTTGCAGTACAACCCATTGCTTGTCTACTCAGAAGTAAGCCCTATTGAATTCAGTGGGGCTTACATTTAGGAAAGTATGCATAGGACATTTGTGCATACTGCTCTTATAGATTTTGCTGCTTTAGTGTATTTTGTGTTTATTTTTAACTTGGTTTATTTGGATCTGAAATTTTATAAATTTTGGGAATTTGATTGAAGGACAGGGTATACATCATTTTAATAAATAGGTTAAAAAAAAAAAAGGCCACCCACTTCACTTAGAATCCTTACTTTCTGAGTGACCTTTCCTGAACATGGTGCCTTCTAGATGCTTTGGAATAAAATTCCCATTCGCCCTGGCCATCACAGGTGGAGGGACCAGTTTGAAGAAGACTGATCTAAGGTTATTCCTGCTAAAAAAAAAAAAGTATACCAAATACTAGACTGGTTCACACATCACAGTGAACCACAGTAAAAAAGGAAAGGGGGCTTGCTATGCTGTTACAAGCTTATTGGTTGCTCCTTCTTTGCTTTGCTCTGCCTGGAGCAAGGAGAAGCAAAAGCTTTAGCTTAGCATTGCATATGAAAAGTGGACATGCTTTATTACTCTCTGAAGAAACCACTTAAATGAATAGTCAATTAAAGCCTGAAACACTACAACCAAAACTTGCCATGATTCTGCAATGGAGGAATCATTTTATTGTGCTGTCAGAGTAGTGTTAAGCCTTCATTGAGATGTAGTGGGGAGATGCTTATCATAAGTATTTAAACAATCAAATGACCATTGCACAGTGTTGCTAGCTCTGTAAGAAACTCATCATGCAAAAAAAAAAAAAAGAGTTTTTGATTCTGTAAATTGGCCTTTTGAAATACCATCATTATGGTTTACTGATGTGAAAAAAGCTTCAAAACATGGAATTGTAACCTAATCTTGCTTTTGCATTGTTCAGAGTCAACAGATTCTCCTTACATATAGTTGTACCAGAATACATAATCAGTGGGAATGGAAAAGGTAACGTTTGCTTACTGAAAAGTAGCAAATTGTTCAAAATTCCATTGCTGTACTTTCCAGTGCTGTGGTGTGTGTATGTGATTAGTATGTGTTAAAGTACATAGCTATGGTATGCCTCATTGAATTACAGAACTTTTAGAACATAAGTGGCTGCTTGATCAGGCTAAAAGCCTGTCTAGTTCAGCATCTTGTTCTCATACTGGCCAACCATATGCCTTTAGGAAACTAGTGAGCAGTACCTGAGTACAATAACACTATCTCCATTTGGTATAGAAACGTGCGTGGTGCTGAGGTCTAAACCACTGAGCCTCTTGGGCTTGCCAGTCAGAAGGTCAGTGGTTCAAATCCACGTGATGGGGTGAGCTCCTATTGTTCTGTCCCTGTTTCTGCCAACCTAGCAGTTTGAAAGCATACCAGTGCAAGTCGATAAATAGGTATCGCTGTGGCGGGAAGGTAAACGGCATTTCCATGCACTAGCACTCGCCACAGTGTCCCGTTGTGCCAGAAACGGTTTAGTCATGCTGGTTATATGACCTGGAAAGCTGTCTGTAGACAAACGCCATCACCCTCAGCCTGAAAAGTGAGATGAGCACCACACCCCATAGTCAACTTTGAGTAGATTTAACCATCCAGGGCTCCTTTACCTTTACTTTTTTTACCATTTGGTATTCCCAGCAACTGGTAGGCAGAACTGTCTAGCATTCTCAAGATAGCTAACACTGTTTCCTAAAGCAGTTCCAACCAATCAGTGAAAAAGTTGGAAAGGTAAGAGTCATCATATGAACTGCAAAAAAATATTCTCTGTGAAAATTTGCCTTCCCCTATATGCTTCTGTCCACTGATGTTGTCTGGCAGAGTTTTTCACATTTTCTTCTTTCACGAAAACCTTTGCACGCTGACCAAGAAATATCTACTTGTTGCAGAGGATTCTGATGATTATTTTTGAGTGCGTACTCTGTTAGGCTGGGTGCTGACTGGGGCCCTTTGGGACATAATATTCATGTCTTGCTAAACCATGTTTGTCAAGCTGAGATCTCAGCGGGTACTAGGTGCATCACCAAAGTTTACACCTACTTGGTTTGCTAATAAATCTAGACAGTTCATAATGCTAAAACATATTAAATCAAGGAGCATTTCACCAAAACTATTTTCTGGCTCAGAACATAAAACATTCTGCACATTGGTGGCAGCATTCAGCAGATCAGATGCCAAAAGGCAGGTTCTTTGTAGGCACATCCTCAAAGATTCATTAATATTAAACCCTCTTCATCAGTGCTAATTTTTTTAGAAAAAGAGGTTCTGGAGCTCACCATGAACTTCTTCCTCTTAGAATGGAAATGGTGCCCACCTGAGAGGTGCCAGAGCTGAGCTCTAGTGAGATCCTGCTGCGGGGGGGGGCACGGGGGGGGGACGGGGACTGTGTTCTTCATCTGACCGGAATTATGAAGTTACATGAAATACCAAGCTAGTACATTGTTTTTGTGCCACATCTCCTGCTACGTGGACTTTCCAGATGCTTTGGATTTCTGCCATTTTTCTTATCCTGAAATGTTTTGAGCCAGAATGTATTGCTCATTTCTGGAGATAGTAACATCTGGCAGTGGTGTATTCATCCTTTGACTGAAATTCTCAAACTGACAATAACATTACAAATTCAGTTGGAACACTGAGAGTAAGATGCAGAAACCGGCAGTTCATCCTGCTGCTACTGCAGACTTGCCAGTCACTTAGCACCAATTTTTTTTTGCTTGTTTAGAGGAGAGTGAGGATAAGAAAGCTCTCATGCAGAGGTGAAGTTAAGCCAACATAACATGTGCACATGTTCATAAAGTTAAGGAACAGTGCCTGTGTACCTTTCACCTTCTAACTCTAAAGTAATCTCATCAGAAGGAGTTAAGCTGTACTTGCCAGCAGTTAAGACTCAGTCAGTAGTTCCACACAGAAAATTTATTTTTTTCAATAGTAGACTGAATAAGGAGTCTAATGGATTCAATGAGGCATAAAGGAAAAGTGTAAAGGGACAGCAGAGGAAAATAAAAGAGAAAGATGTGCGAAAAAAGAAAGGAACTGGGGACCATTGTAAGTCTTCGGGAAAGGGAACTAGGCAGCAATGATTATATCTCCTGAAGTGTCTTTTGTTTCAGCTTGAAGTAATAGCAGAGAATAGTCCTTCATAGTGAGGCTTTAACATGCAGCCCAAGATTGATCTCTGTATTCAGAGGAGGAAA